GAGACTTTTTGTGAATGACCACGTGGGTAATTAAGTATTGCAACAAGTCAAATATTACTGAGCAAAGTGCATTTCTATGGCAGTCGGTGATCATATTACATTTTCTAACTTAAAAGGACCTATGATATTTGACAGCAAAGAAGAGCCATGTTATAAACTCTCTCTGCTTGATAATTCGGGGTGGAATCTTTTTCTTCTTGAGTCAAAGGATTTCTCTTTTGATGTTCTGGATATGTCCTTTCTTGAAAATATGTGTTGTGAATATCTTCTCCCAGCCTTGGGTTACGTTTGCACTCTTACCACTGTCTTTTAATGAACATAACTCTTAATTTTATTTTATTTATTTATTTATTTATTTTATCCCACCCAAGGACATTTTTCCATTTTTTATTCAGGTAGAGTGGGCGGGAGAGAGAGGAAGAGAGAGAGAGAGAGAGAGAGAGAGAGAGAGAGAGAGAGAGAAAGAAACACCGACATGAAAGGGACACGTCAAGTGGCTGCCAACCTCACGACCAACCAGGGCCGGGGACAAACTGCAACCGAGGTCCGTGCCCTTAGTAGGAACCGAACCCTCTGGACCGCAGGCCGATGCTCTAACTGCTGAGCCCAACTGGCCAGGGCATGTTGATGTGGTTTTAAGCAGAAGGTCTCTTGTGGAAATAAACAATCAGGAACAATTTTAAAAATTGACACCTGTCTGCCCTGGACAGTTTGCCTCAGCGATTAGAGCGTCGGCCTGCGGTCCTGAGAGACCCGGGTTCGGTTCCCGTAAGGGCGTGTGCCTCGGTTGCAGTTTGTCCCCAGCCCTGGTTGAGGTCGTGTGGGTGGCAGCCAGTCGATGTGTCTCTCTCACATCGATGTTCCTCTCTCTCTCTTCCTCCCTCTTGCCCTCTTGCTCTATCTGAAGATAAATGCAAAAACGTCCTCGGGTGAGAGTAAAAAAAAGAAATACATACAATAAATTTACACCTGTCCTTTGTTCCAAGTTGTACTTTCAGGGCACTGGGGTCAAACTTGGGAAGAAGGAAAAAACAGAGAAGCACATTGGGATCCACGTGGCTGACCGAGCTGGGAGCCAGCAGGTCCAACAAGGAGCAGCGACCCAGAGAGCAGATTAAATGGGGACCTTTAACGCTGAAAAGAGAAAAAGAGCTTTCATTCTACTTTTTTTGTTTTCTGATTAAGACAGCACGAGCTCTGTGACCGGGAAGATCTGAGGTTTTCAGGTGGAGAGATCACTGGGGAGGTGCCAAGTAGCCAGGAGGGGCCCCTCCCCTTCCTGGAAGACTCTGCCCGTCACCCGCCATCGTCACGCCTGCCATCCTCTGAATGCTGGCATGTAGCAGCTTCGTCCTTAAGCATGAGCCCTCAGCTCCAGTGAAGCTGAGAAAATTAATAATGACAGGTACACGCAGGTAGCGAATGGCAGGTAAACGCAGCCACCGGCACCTTTGGAATGAGTGTAGCAGGTTTAGCTTGGCAAAAACCCCTCAGCATTAGGAGCATGTGCAGGAAAGAGTTAACACAGCAGGCCTGAGACTGTGGTCCCCAGAAAGACCTGCGTCCAAGGTTGGCCCTCAGCTGATGTCCGGGAACCTGGATTTCGGGAGGGTCCCACCACTCCAGAACCGATCAGTGGCTCCCTGTGCCCAAACCATTTATACAGAAGCATGGATGATGCCGAACATCTGCTTTCCCCCTGGGAGTTTGGGAATCTGAATTTGTGGAAGGCAGAGGGTGCGCATGTGGCAGCCCCTCAATAAAAACCCTGGGCACCGAGTCTCCCTGGTGGGCAACATTTCACACGCGTTATTACAACTCATTGCTTGGGGAGTTGAGCACATCCTGTGTGACTCCACTGGGAGAGGACTCTGGGAGCTGCTGCCTGGTACCCCCAGACTTCACACCATTCCCTGTGCTGATCTTTTCTTGCATCCTCTCATGTCAATAGATCATGGCCATGAGCGCAGTCATATGCTGAGTCCACAAGTCTTCCTAGCGAATTCTGAACCTGGGGTGTTCTCAGAGAACCCCAAACTCAGAGTATAAAAAACAACCCACCTCCTGGAGCACAGACTTCTTGGGAGTGAGTTGACGCCTGTCCCCCCAGCAAACACATTTCAGAGCTCTCTGGAAACCCTCTCGTGAAGCTTGGGCTTGGAAAGTGCAAGGGGAGAGGTGGGGACTCGCAAATGGAAAAGCTCTTACCCAGAAATCCCTTCACCAACTCCCTTACCAAGTCCCACCCTGCCCCCCGCCACATCTCATTGATCTTGAGAGGCAGGGGTGATTAGGTTGAACCATATGAAAGTGCCCTTTCTGTAGATCAAAAACATACCTAAGTTGTGGGTTTGATCCCCAGTTGGGGCATGTGTGGAAGGCAATTAATCAATGTTCTCTCTCACACTGATGTTTCTCTCTCTCTCTCTCTCTCTCTCTCTCTCTCTCTCTTTCTCTCTTCCCCTCTCTCTAACATCAATAAGCATATTCTATTCTTGGGTGAGGATTAAAAAACAAAACAGCACAGTTGAACATTGGCAATTTCACATAATATGATCATCCACACCATTATGCAGATGAGAAAACTGAGGCTTAGGGAGGTTAAATCATTTGCTGAAGGTCACACATTTCTCTAGCCAGAGAGCTTAGATTTGAAGTGAGACCTGATTCCACAACCTGCCATTCTGACTGTGGCCACAGGACGCTGTCCACGGAAATGGAGGTTCTTATTGGACGATGGTAAAACATTAGGTTGGTAGAGTATGGCTTTTCGATATCAGGACGGCCATCTGGACCTGCCGTAGCAGCTACGGGGAGACCACTGGAGATGAAAAGGCAAAAAGTAGGAGAGCAAAGAGTAGAATAAAGAGACATAATATGGAGGCAGGAAGGTGAGTAGGCTGCTGGAGAAATCAGATAACACATCAGACTTAGGAGATCCTGGCAGGTAACTATCAAAGATGGAATGACTAAAGAGACACTTTTTTTTTGGAAGGCAGCTATGCTAACCACTATACCACCAACGCCACGAGACACTTTTTTTTTGAATTGCGTGTCCTTGGCACCATATCTAGCACATAGTAGTTGCTCAATAAATGCCCATTATGTAAGAACAGAGCTAAACAGATAAGGTTAGAAATGGTTTCTAGGTGGCAAGGAATCACCGCACTGAAAATATGGGGTTTCAAGATCAGCTTTAATGCAAGCCCATGCATCGTGAATGATTCCTGTAATGTATATAGTGACACCTACTGCCAATAACATACTCTGTGACTCTTCCACAGCTGACTGCTCTGTATGCTTTGCTCCTATCTTTACCTAAGTGGGGTGTTGTGTGGAAACTTGAGCACTCATCTCTGTGCGGGGACAGCTGTAGGTGCGTACATCTGGGTAGGTTGAAGGGGCATATTTGTGAAAAGATATGAGGAGAACCACACACAGCAGGCTATTTTAAGAACTTCTTACGTCCCAGGCACTCTGAGTTCTGGAAGCTCATCCCACATCCTAACAAATATATTAAAATACTCCCACATTATCTAAATACTCTTAAAGAATTTGACCTTAAAAAAAAACAAAAAACAGTTTTCATAGGAACTTCTTTGGCGACAGGGAACTTAATTTATAATTGCTGTGACTTCCCAGAAATCATGGTATGTGGAAATTCTTACTAAGTGATTTCTAACTCACACGTAGTTATAATGAAATGTTTACCAATAAACATTACAATGATGAAGTTGACACGTTATGTCATGGGGAGCTTTCTTTGAATATTTGTGAGTTTCGAATTTGCAGTGTACTTTTTTTTTTTTTGTAATTTGGGGCCAATACAATTTTTTCAGTCTTAAACACTGTCATAGGTCCTTGAAAAAGGCCCATGGAATGAAACGGTCCAGTAAACATTGCTGCTTGTATATGATCGGCCAACTAGGCACTAAAAGTCCATGGAGACTCTCATTCTCCTCTATTCTAAGATATCCCAGAAGGGACAAGGGCAAACAGCTTTCCCTTCTGTGTCCAGGACTTTCCTCCTCATATCGTCCCCCACAACACTCCTATGTGTACAATAAATGCCGACTAAATCCAGGAAACCGAAGACACAGACACAGGGGGATCCTGCCTCAGCACAACTGATGTTTTCTGGGGAAAATAATTTATGATTAAAATTCCCCTCACTGGACAGTCTGCAGGAACATGTGAAACACTCCTGTTTTTATTTCTGGTCTTCAGAGGACAGTGTTTTGGTTTTCTTTTTTGTTTGTTTTGTTTTTTGTTTTTTAAAAGCTGGGCATTTTTCTACTTTCATTCCGCCACTCCTGGTCAAGTGCAGGCGCCTGGTCATGTAGGATCCCATCTGTAAGTGGCTGGTCCTTTCTGCATTTCGGGGGGACTGTTGGTCACCGCATGGAGACGTTATTCGGGGCTCCATCCGGCTGGGGGATGCCCCCCACGCAGCTCCGGGAACTTTGGCCACACTCAATGGCCTGGGTGGGTACTGGGGATCACTCTGCGGGAACTACCGACTGTCTGCGGGACTGACCTCAGGACCCACATCACCCCCGCCTTCGCCTCCACCTGCGACCCCACCTGGGCCATCTGACGCCCCCGACTCCCCCCACAGCTCGGCCCTTCCCCATCTGACCCCCACCGTCGCCCTGACCTTAATCTGGGCCGGCGGGCGCCCCCGCGGCCCCCCGGGAATTCCAGCGGGCACGCCCGTGCGCGCCCCCGCCGACCCCGGCGCGGACCCCGGAAGACGCCCGGACCCAGAGTCGCCCTGTACTTTCTGCAAAGTGATTTCTCGGAAGACGGCGAGCCAGGCGGGCCGCGCCCCGGCGGGGCTCCGGAGGCCTCCCCGCGACCATTGGCTGGCGCGACCGGCGCGTGGCGTGCCGGGCCCGCCCCCGACCTTAAATGTGCGCGGCGCCGGGCCCCGGCAGCATCTCCCGAGCGCGGCGGGCGAGCGTGGGAACGCGGGCGGCTGCGCCGAAGGCGGGCGGCGGGCAGGGCGCGCGGCGGCAGGTAGGTGGCCTGGGCGGGCGGCGGGACCACGCGGCGGCCGGTCCGGGCGGGCGGCCCCGGTGCCGCCGCCGCCCAGTGTCTGGGCCAGCGCGACCTGCCCCTGCACTGTCTCCCACCCTCTGTCTCCCCTGATCCCAACGAAGGTCCAAGGGGTTCATCATTGTATGGCTGCCCCGAAAGATGGGCTGAGGCTTAAAAAAAAAAAATCTCATTTAAAAAAAAAATCTGATTTGCATGGACGACTTCAGAATGGCTCTTATAATGAAGGGAAATATTTGCCCTTTATTATAAGACCCCCTTTGTCCAACTCAAATCCTACTACGTGGAGTGGTACTTGGAGGGTGGTAACCGTGAACCTGCCCAACAACCAGCCGCGCTTGTGTGGGTCAGTTAGCTTGTGAAGGGGCAGACTGGATTTTTTTTCTTTTGATCAATGGCAATTAGGATTTCTGAGTGGGGTTTGAGGTCCTTTGCTTCCATCCATAGTCCAGTCTCCCCTGGCAAGAAGTCTGTATGGGTTCACAACTAACAAAAGCATTTCGGTGTAAAATGACCCCAAGGCAAAGGGCAGATTCTCTTAAGGTGAGGAGGTGAGATGTATTTATTACCCAGAGCTGTGAAGGGCTTCCTGGCGTGGAAACTAGAGACTGCGTTTTCTGGAATTTTAAACGATTCTCCTAACATACGGGGTGGGGAGATATAGCACAATTTTTTATTTTATTTTTAAAAATATGTTTTCATTGATTTTTTTTTTGAAAGAGAGAGCGAGAGCGAGAGAGAGCGCGATGTGAGAGAGAAACATCGATTGGCTGCCTCCTGCACACCCTCTACTGGGGATCAAGCCTGCAACCTGGGCATGTGCCCTGGCGGTTAATTGAACTTGACTGGTAATCAGAGTGGGACTGCTTAGTCCACAGGACGATGCTCAATCCACTGAGCCACACTGGCTGGGCTAGCACAAATTTTTAAGCATATTTTAGGAGCTGGTCCTTAAATGATGGTCTGAGAGTATCCTTTTGGATTATGGCAGGTTTCCCCATGTAAAGAATGAGGGGTAGTTTAGTCATTTTAGCAAGTTTGGGGTCAGAGGGAGAAATGGCTTTGATGCTTTTGGGTCTCGTGGGGATGGGGGTTTGCAGTGGCCAGGGCAGATGCCCAGGGGCCCTGGAGGTGTGGGAGAAGGTGAGTCCTGCACCACCTCTCAGGCACATCCTGGAATCGGGTTGGTTGAGCCCAGGGCTGCCTCATATCACCTGCCACCTGGGAAGCCTGACCCCCGGACCCATTTATAGGGTGTAGATTAGCTCCAGATAGGACTTAGCCCATAAAGAGAATTATTACCTAAAAATCAAGGAAGAGGAAGTTATAAACATGTGACTGGACTTATAAAATTTTCCTGGCTCAGCAGTTGGTGGAATTAATTTGTTAGTGTTTAATAGATCGTTATGGATCTTCATTGTATTAGAATCTTAGGCTTTTAATGGTGCTTAGAATCTTTCAGGTGATCTCATTGAACATTCAGGCGGGGCTATCCATGTGCTGAGATCTTATAATTTAACCATGGTTTTACTCTGCAGAGTGAGTAAAATAAGGCCCCCTTCCTGGGTGTCTGGATGTCGGGGTGCCTTTCTAGGCCTCAGCTTTTCCTTTTTTTTTTTGAACCAAGAGGGGCTGGATTGGATGTTTCTAAAGTTTTTCCAGCTTTTATATTCAATGACTTCCTCTTCCTCTTAATGTGATCTCTCTTACTTTCTTTTCTTTTCCTTAAATCCTCAAGACAATTGTCCTTAACAATTTCGGGGTTGTGAATCCATTAAAAATCCCGATGAGAAGGTGTTGATCACTGTCTGGGAAAATGCCCCCCTACAAACAAAATATTGCTTTTCATTTCAGGATGCTCCTGGAACATGGACTCTATTTTATGAACCTTGTCCTAAGGGGCTGAGCAAAATGCTGATAAGCAGGAACATAGCTGATAGATCCACAGACAGACACGAACCTCTCTCTTGCGCTCTGGCCTCCTCTTCTTGTCTCCCACATAGCTCCTTTCTCATTTGAGGTCTCCTGCCTTTCCAACAGGGAAGATCCATAGGACTCTGTACCCTGCCAAGTTGTTTTCTGGGGGAGCTTGGTGGTGTCATTCTATTTCTCTCATTAAGTGCTCCTCGCAAATCTGTCTGTATTTATAAACCCGAGGGACTGTTTCAGCATTCTGGAACGCTTGCGATCCATTCACTTTGCCGGTGAGGAGAGCCCCAGAGAGAGATTCAGGTGACTTAACCAAGGTCTAATTAGGAGAAAGCCTTTGCCAGAGTCTCCAGTTTTCAAATCGAAGTCTGACTCCTATTTCACACACTTCACTGTTTTTAAATCCACACCTGGGCAGCTGGGGTGATTGGATGGAAATGTTACATTTGGAGCTCATGGGACCTCACTTCCTTTTCCCCGGGACCTGGACGTCCTCTCTGACCCCACAGCCACCTGCAGGGTAGCTGGAGTTTTTATAACACCCACTTTTTGCCTTATAGACCAGCGTGGCTCTGGATGTGACCATATTCTTGGGGACATTATGTCACTACTGATTGTTTCAGACTTGTTTGCTAAAGAGGTCACATTTTAGAAGAATAGAAATGCTTTCTTTTTTTTTTTTTTTGGGTGGGCGTCTGTCCAACTGCCTAGGGGATTTCCACTCCTGTTCTTGTAAACGTGGGCTGTGAGTTGATACGGCATGTTGCTTTCTCTTTTTCTCTGGGCTGTTGGGTCAGCTGCCTGACCTGGCAGGAATGTGCTTCCAAGGGATGTCTTTGGGCGCCCTGGGATGATGAGGTCCCCCAATTTGGTACCTTCCGGAAGAGACTATTCAGGCGAACTTTGTCTGTAGCCACAGTTGACTTCCTCACACTTGTCTGCTCTCTCCCAATTGGTCATAAGAATTCCTGAGGAAGAAAGTTGGGATAATAATACCAATAACTGTTATTTCGAGAAGTCTTTGAGGTCCAGACACCGTCTCAGAGGCCTTGCACGTGCTGTCTGAGCCCCCACTGCAATGATGCCAAGTACCAATAGTTGTCCCAGCGTTTCAGCCGGTGTAGCTGACACGTCAGTGTTTAAAAAATTCTTTTTTTTCTTTATTGATTTGCGAGAGAGAGGGAGGGAGAGAGAGAGAGAGATAGAAACATTGATGAGAGAGAACATCGACTGACCTCCTCCTGCATGCCTCCCACCAGGGATCTGGCCCACAACCTGCGCATGTGCCCTGACCGGGAATCGAACTGGCGACCTCCTGGGTCGACGCTCAACCACTGAGCCACACCAGCCAGACGACACTTCAGTGTTAATGATGCTCCCAGGTCACCCAGCTGGGAGATGGCAGGATTCAAACAGGACCCCAGCCCTGCCCTTCCCAAACTCATGCTGTTATCACTAAACCAGCTGCGAAAGAACAATCTAGAAGTGTAGTCTGAGACGTTCCTCTTTCTTGGAGACACAGATGTCCAGTTTGCTCACACACACCGGTCGGACTGGGCACTAAGTAATGAAATGGGCTTTTAGAGTGATGGGTGCTCATTGAAGGGACCAGAACATGGAAGCGATTTTTCCTTATCTCGTGCTAAAGATGGAGTGATGCGGTTGCATGTGCCCGAAAGGGACGTGGGGAAAAGCTGGAAAGGGCACAGACGGAATCGTAGCTGGGGCCGGTATCTGGGTGAAGGGCAGCTGCCAAGTTCCCAGGTGACTTTCAGTTTTCATTCAGAGGTCTGAGGTCCTGGAAACAGACATTGGGCTCTCATGGCAGGTGGCCCTGAGCTCTGGATCGGCGGGCTTCCCCTGCTGGCACCTTGTTGCCACCCTCTGATTTTCCTGTTAGCATTCCTTGGCTGTTGAGTACCTGGGGTGCTTGATGAATGAGACATTATTTGTAATTTCTTAGAATTCGTTTTTGTTTCTTTTTTCTTTCCAAGGATGTGTGACCGGAATGGAGGCCGGCGGCTTCGGCAGTGGCTGATTGAGCAAATTGACAGCAACATGTACCCAGGGCTGATTTGGGAAAACGACGAGAAGAGCATGTTCCGGATCCCTTGGAAACACGCCGGCAAACAAGATTATAATCAGGAAGTAGACGCCTCCATTTTCAAGGTAAAGGCTGGACTTCCCTCCTCTGACCACGCAGGGAGCTTCTCTCTTCCCTCACCAGCCGGTGGAGGTGTTGAGTGACAACTTTCTTGAAAAATTAATCCAATTTTCAAAAACAAACATTGAAGCCCTGGCCGGTTTGGCTCAGTGGTGAGTGTTGGCCCTTGGACTGAAGGGTCTCAGGTTCGATTCTGGTTAAGGACACGTACCTGAGTTGCAGGTTCAATCCCTGGCCCTGGTCACGGTCGTGCAGGAGGCAACCAGTTGATGTATCTCTCACATCAATGTCTCTCTCTTCCTCTCTCTCCCTCCCTCTCTTCTATTTTATCTAAAATTCAGTGGAAAAATATCCTCAGGTGAGGATTAACAACAACAATAAAACAAGCAACTCCCCCCCACCAAACAAACATTGATTAAGTGCAGAATGTGTCTTGAGAAACATTCCAGGTAATTTTGCAGCTATTATATGATTCAGTTACTTGGGGATGGTTTTATATCGTGGCATTTTTTGATGAGATTAAGGACACTTCTTGCAAAGTTCTGTTTGGCAGGGTGGGGTCAGCTCTGTGAGAGAGACACCATCTGTCATTACTTTGGGGCCAGGTCATTTGGGATGTCCTGCCGCAGGTGTCTAGAATTAATCTGGCTTCCCTTGAGAATAGCGAGTACCCCAAGCTCTGGTTCTACCATTTGCATCGTGACTGCTGGCGTTGATCGAGTTTGCTCTGTGGCTGGCCTGGCCCCACAGGGTTTGCGTTTTCCTCTCACACAGCCCTGTGAGGAAGTGCTGTCCTTGTCCTTGATCTGTAGAGGCACTGAGAGAAGTGACTTGTCTAAGATCTCACAGCTCTTGAATGATGGAGCCAGTGTTCGAACCCTGAGCCCAGCCCTGAGGCCATGCTCCCAAACCCTAGCAGTACCGATAAACAGAGGTGTCTTGCCGTCACACCTAGATCCAGGCCGAGGAGCCAGGAGCCAGGGCAGTGCAGTGGGTCATCAGGGTCCCCCGTGGGCTTCTCTAAGGCTCCAGAAATGCAGGTTCCACCCCCTGAGAGGTGTGTAGCCCTAGGTCCAGGTGAGCCCAGGCTTCCATTTTTGCAAACCGACACGCCACAAGTCTGACTCAGAGCCCAGGTTGCAAACTGCTGCTGCTGTGTGCCGGTTCTGTGGGCATTTGGGGGCCCCGGGGTAGGGAGGGGAGAGTGAGTGAGCATGGAGGAGGACTGGAGAGGCTGAGCTGGGAGGGCCGGCATCAGACCAGAGACCTTGGATAAATGACGGGAGTAAAGCTCAGACTCGTAGCCAGGGATGACCATCTTCTGACACAAAAATCCAAAAATGACTAAAGACCATACCTTGACCTCAGCGTGGAGCATAAGTAGGTCAGAGTTGGTTTATAAGGCATTTCCGTTCTTTCTGACGTTTGCAGTGGGGCTACACATGTAGCAATTCTATTAAATGTCACCTGGAGTTGCAGGTCTCTGAGACTCTGATGCGTTGCCGGCCCTCTCCAAGAAAAGGGGGCACGTGTGTGGGTGTTTTGCACTCACCTCCAAGGGGTCCCACCTGGCCTGAATGTCCAGCAGATTTTTTCCCTCAGCAAGGACCCAGGTCAGGAGCCTGGACTCTGCCAGGTTTGCGAGCTGCTAGTGTTTCCTTTCTCCTTCTGGCAGGAATGTGGATTCCTCTCTTGTAGAGGTTTTTTTACCTTTAGCATTATGGTGAGCTTCTCTTGGGAGTGACTCTAGCTAAATTTAAGCAGTGCTCAAGGTCCATCTATCCATCCAAAGTCAGCTGGGATAAGCCAGGGTTCCTCAGCGTTGGCACTGTTGACATCTAGGACCAGATGGTTCCTGTTGTGGGTCATCCTGTGCACTGGAGGACATTCAGCAGCATCCCTGACCTCCACTGACTAGATGCCAGCAGCACCTGTCCCCCCAGTGTGACAACCAAAAATCCCTCCGACATTGCCAGATGCTTTCTGGGGGTGCATTCTCTCCTTCCACATTGAGAACCCTCCTAGGAGCCGACCATGGCCAAGAGGAACAGATTTAAGCAGAAGTGAGGGGTGCACAGTCGCAGGTGGCCCATCAGTAAAACTTGTTCCTGGAGGAGAGTAGGCGGGGCTGGACCAGGAGGCTGCATAACCCTGGCTGGTGGCTGGCTGGTGGAGCTGTAGGGCCCGTCCCTTCACACTGCTCCCTGCTTCAGCTTATGCTTGGGGGGGAATGAAATAAAGCCCCAGATTTATACATCTTATGCAATGTTCTTCATGGCCGTTTCAACAGCGTTGAGAAAAATGTGCAAGATTCCCAATGTTTCCGTTGATTACGCAGTCGCTCAGTGTGGCAATCTGAAATGAGTGTACAATCTCAGCAGGAATGGGGGTGGGAGGGAGACACGGGCACCCACCCAGAGCTGGGTGGCCACTGGAAGGGCAGACCCTGGGCTGGCGAAATACAGGTGGGAGGAAGCCATGCAGAGCTTCCCTGAGTGGTGCTAGCTCACGCCGTCCTCTGGGGGGCGCATCTCCGCGATGCCCACTGGATGGGTCGGCTGTTGGAAGAAGCCAGAAGGCAGGCCTCGGTGAGATAGAGCCAGCCTAGGGATCTTCCCGGGAAGCGAAGAACCTTTCAGTTTCACACAGTCAAAGAAAACCTTTTCAAAATCTATGAGTTAAGAAAACCAGTCTGTTTCCTGCCGTAGTAAATGGGTCTGAAGGAGCTACTATGCCGGAGATCCTTCATTGTCCAGAGGCGTCATTCTGAGGTCAGCTTCATGGGGTAGACCAGAGATGGGAGATTGGAAAAGACATTTAGCTCAGTTTGTACCATCCCTGGGTATACCGATGAGGCCTTGATATCGGCTCATATTTATTTTTTACAAAAGTGTTTTGCCTCCTTTTCATAATGTTGAGGGAGGAACTCGAGTTGGGGGTGGGGTGGGGGACGATCATTCATTGGTGGTTTTTCATTGACCAGGCATTGTGATGGTCCTGAAGGGGTTAGGACTTACTTAGTAGCACAGATATTTCAAATTCAGTAGGCCTTTGGGGAAAGAAAATAGCCTTTGATTTTTAAAACACAAGATGGGACAATCATGTTAAGTCAGGAAGGTGGTCCCGGGTTCAATGCTGGCTGCTGCTGAGAGCCGAGGACCTTGCGGCCGGGAAGCACAGGCTGCAGCGGGGACTCAGAATCCCTGTTCTCTGTAGGGTTAGCTTTAGAGTCCTGACAGCTCTCCCAGCTGGGTATATTTTAGAGCCAGCCCGAGAACCCTCAAAAGGAGTCAGTGCAGGCTGGAAGAGGGGTGCCTGGTGCCAGCACAGGGCGCTTCCTGCCCATGGGCCCCGCTTTGCTTTATGATGTCTTGGCTGCTTTCATGAAGTGAGTGTGAGCCTTCAATAAACCAGTGGTTATGACAGTACCCTGTAGGCTGTGCAGTCTGGATACGTACGAGTTGGTCCTAACAGTGCCCCCAAATCCATGCTCTTCAAGGTCCATTTGTTATATGGATTAGCCCAGTGGTTTTCAAGAGTGTGTTTGTGTGTGTGTGTGTGTGTGATGATTTTACCTTCCTGAGGACACTTGGCAATGTCTGGAGACATTGCTGGTTGTCACAATGGTGGTGGGGGTGTTACTGGCATCTAGTGGGTGGAGGCCAGGGAAGCTACTAGACCTCCAGCCACACACAGAATGATCTGACTCCAGCCCTGGCTGGTTTGGCTCAGCAGTTGGAGCAGCGGCCCTGTGGTCCAGAGAGACCCGGGTTCGGTTCCCGCTAAGGGCATGTGCTTCGGTTGCAGTTTGTCCCCAGCCCTGGTTGGGTCATGCGGGTGGCAACCACTTGATGTGTCTCTCTCACATCGATGTTTCTCTCTCTCTCTCTCTCTCTCTCTCTCTCTCTCTCTCTCTCTCTCCCCCTTCCACTCTATCTGAGCAAAACATGGAAAAATGTCCTCGGATGAGGATAGGTAGAAACAGTGATTTAATGCGATACATATTTGAAATTACTGTTCCATGTGTACATGGTTTGCCCTTACATTTCTCTGATGTAGTTAATATATGATTGGAAAAAAAAAGATTGTAGAGAATTGAAAACCACTTACTTTTAAACATCTTTTAAAGGGGAGTTTTTCATCAGTGTCTGACAAGGAAATGGCCGCTCATGCTCATTAGTAGGAATGTTCTAACAGGTTCTTTGCCTCGAACAGAGATGTAAAATCTGAGCTCTGGGCATTAATGGTGAAGGGAATATTGACAGTGAATGATGAGATCCTGTCTTCTCTGAGAAGAAAGAAACCAAGACTATTTTAAATGGAGCTGTGACTTCTAGGGGAGTTTTGGAGTTTCTGGGGGTGTGGCCTCCTGGGCACCTAAGTCAGAGTGACTGGGATGCTGGCGAAAGAGGCACAACCACAGACCTAACCCACACCAATGGATGAGTCTTGAGGGGCAGGCCTAGGAAGCTGCATTTCATGAGTTCCCAGGAGATTGTCATCAAGCTTGAGGACAGCTGTTGTTTAATCCCATACTGTCACCTTGGGAAGGTTGTCCCTTGGCATTGCATTTTTCCTGAGTGGGATTGAGAATTCCCTCTAGATGTGGTATTATTTTAGGTTGGAAGATGTGTCTGATTTTACCTCATGCCAAAGGTTATTTTCACCTGACAGTAGTGACCTGATCAATGTGTGCTGTATTTTATTTTGTGGTGCGTACCCCTAACGGAAACCGGACCCTGGACTCTCTGGTCCGCAGGCCGATGCTCCAACCACTGAGCCAATCCGGCTAGGGCTGTATTTTATTTTTGAAATGAAAACTATGCCCATTCACATTAAAAAAATTTTTTTTTATCCTCACCCGAGGACATTTTTCCATTTTTTGTACAGATAGAGTGGGAGGGAGAGAGAGGAAGAGAGAGAGAGAGAAACATCGACGTGAAAGGGACACATCGAGTGGCTGCCACCCGCAACCAGGGCCGGGGACAAACTGCAACCGAAGTACGTGCCCTTAGCGGGAACCGAACCCGGGTCTCTCTGGACCGCAGGCCGACGCTCTAACCGCTGAGCCAAACCGGCCAGGGCCCATTCACATTTGATTTTTAAAAAAAAATTATGCCACATTCTACATTTGCCTTTTAAATTTCCAGCTTTGAATCTTTGCTCCTAGTTCAGAGTCTAAGGTTTAAAGAGGTCAGAAAACAGAGCTATGAAAAAAAAAAAAACCAAGAGAGAGGTAGAACATTTCATAGCATTTTAAACAGTGCCCTGGGGAGGTGGGGGGAAGGTTAGACTAAATGCCAAAATGCAAAACAAAATGTCTATTAAAAGCATGGCAGTGGATGATCACACTCAGAATTTTTGCAAATGTTTCCTTTTCATGCTAAATTTTCATGCTAGGGGTTGATTAAAACACACACACACACACACACACACACACACACACAAATTATTCTTTGTTTTGAACATTCTAGTGAAACCATGTGCACTTCCTCCTTGAGCTACTTGACCTCAGGCTCCTCCTGGCTCTCTGGTCCAGGGAAGGATTTTTGTGGGGGTGCCTGGCCTGAGCTCCAGTTTCAGCTCAGCTGGCAGATCTTGGGGGACCCCTTCCTGGCCTGGGTTTTTTGTATATCTGTCGAAGAAAGTGGTCTGATTGAGGTCTCTGAGCCCTGAAATTCCTTGAATGAGAGTTGCTGGCCCAAAATGGCTGTGGCCTTGGATGTCGGTGCTCGAGGGGCTGGCTGTGTGTTTCATGAGCTGCTTTCTCTTCCTTCAGGCCTGGGCAGTTTTTAAAGGGAAATTTAAGGAAGGGGACAAAGCTGAACCCGCCACATGGAAGACAAGGCTACGCTGTGCTTTGAACAAGAGTCCAGATTTTGAGGAAGTAACAGACCGGTCCCAGCTGGACATTTCCGAGCCATACAAAGTTTACCGCATCGTCCCAGAAGAGGAGCAAAAATGTAACTATCCTTCATGGGCACTTAGAACAACAGAGGCTGCAAGGCCCAGGCTTGGGGGGGAAGCCGCCGCCCACAGGGTCTGGGCAAGTGGTTTGAGCTAAACAAAATAGTTCTGTCCTTTGTATAAGCAGATTCGGAGATCTCTTTCCGCTGACCTCGCCCACCAGCTGCTGACCAAGTGGCAGCTTCCAGCTGAGTGAGAGGTGGCGCGGATGGAAGGAAAGGGTGGGGAGGTTGGGTGGCAGCCAGCTCTGCTGACCAGGAGCGAGTTGGAGGCTATCCCTGGGGCTCAAGGATGAGGTTGGGCAGCAGCAGGGATCCTCGGACAGCGTGGAAGGAATTTCTTTTGTTTTCTAGCAATCTCAAAGGAGGCTAGGGGAAAATAAGGTGGACAGAGAAGGGATGGCCGATGAGGACAGAGGGTCAAGTTCTCGAGTGAATTTGTGGGTGACGGCACTGTTAGTTTCATTGCTACGGCTCAGTATTGTTAGATCCTGATCATTGTTTGGGAACGCAGGATGTGATGATTCCTGAAGTTTCTTCCAGTTCTAAAATTCCAGGAAAGCATCTGTGAAGAATTTAATGCAGGGACAGCAACGGTGTACAGAGCATCTCCCAAGGCCTGATTCCCACGCTCCCGTCAGACATCACTAATCAATCAGGGTGCCTGGAGCTCAGGTGGTGCACGATGCAGCCGCTAGGGATCCGAGCTGGCCCATGAGATAAGCCCGCATTGCCATCTCTGGTTTAAAACATTGTCAACACATTGATTTTCTTAGCCGTTAGATGTAGCGGTTAGAATATTCTTTTCTGCTTGGGAGAAGGCCAGTAAGGTCGGAAAGAAATAGAAGTCTCTGGTTAGAGCTATGCAGAAATTCTGAGTTTGAGCCCTTCCAATGTGGGAAGGTTAAACAAGTTGATGTGTAGTTTAAAACAAGTTAAAATTGTGACCCGAAGAAATATTTAGTGAGCCTGGGTCAGACAGTTGTGTGACTCCTTGAAGAGGGAACCAGCACGATGACAAAGACTGTTCGACAGAATATGACACGCTGGCATACACGGCCAGTGAGGGACAGAAGGCTGAGTGTCTGACCTGGCAACACAGTGGCCCCGGGGTTATGCTTTCTGCTGGTCATTTGTAGCTGAACTGCCTGTAAATTCATGCCTGGCTTTTCTGAGCCTGAAGCCTCAATGAGGGTCAGTACTACGTCAAACAAACTGAACTTGCCCTGGAAAATGAAATCGCCCTTAGGGAAGACCTCTTGGGTAATCCTCTGGGATGGCTTTGAAAGGCCAGTCATCTTTCTGCCGTATTTCCAGTTTTGGATATTGTTTTTTTGTCATCACAAAGTAAATTGTGATGTGAAGGAATAGAGAAGTTTCTGTTACTCCCCTGCCTCCCATGATCAGCCGAGCTTGAACTGGCAGATGACCCCAACTTGTTTATATATAGCGTGGGTCGCAGCCAGCATCACCTGCGAGGGTGGATGTTCAAGAAGCAGGTTCTCAGTGGGGGGGCAAAGGAACGTTGTATTTGCATAAAACCTACATGGACCCACCTCTCCTCTGTCCTTCAGTGGTTTGCAAGCTACATGGGGGTGCCCCACCTGCCCCTATTTCCCTCATCAACAGCTTCTAAGCGAATTCTGGAATCTACCAAAATGGAATAAAAATTCAGTGAGGATGAAACAATAGGCCAATTCTGTAGCTCACTGGGACTGTTGAATTCCGATAAACAGGTGTTTATTGGTTATAATACATCTCACACTGATAGTCTTAATGAGGGGAGTTTCTGGCCAGAGAAGAGGTAGAAAAGCAAGGAGGAGACCAGCTGGGTTTAGAGTGCTTGTTGTGGAGATGCTTGTGTGTCTTTAGTGATTCCCGGTGAGCTTGGGCAAGTCTTTGTGGTAGGCTGTGTGTGTGCGTGGTGTGTGTGTGTACGGGTCACGCGTATCTTTGGAAAGGCCAAAAAGACATTTCCTGCCAATTAACTTAAAAAAAAAAAAAAAAAGACTGTAACCTTTAAACACATTTTGTCAGGAAACCTTTGCGTGTCTTCGAGTGCCCTAGCTTGTGAATTGAACCTCTGCAGGTTGGTAGACGCCTGGTGTAGAGGGTGTCTGATGTGAATACGTGTTAGATCTCTGCAAACAGAAGGAAGAGACCCAAGTGCTCTTTGTCCTCCAAGTGTTAGAAACAACAACAACCAACTTCTCCCTTTTGAGTCTGCTGATCAGATGACTGCAGAAGCATGGGAAAAAAATTTCAAGGCCTTTCCCAAACCAGGGAAGACAGTGACTTTTATTTCTTTCAACTCAGCATTTACAAACGAACCACTGGGCATGGCCTCAGCGCCGATTGTGATGCCTCAGTGGTTTGGTCATGTTTTGTCCTGCTTGTCTGCTTTTCCGTAGGCAAACTAGGCGTGCCGACTCCTGGCTGTGTGAATGAAGTCCCCGAGATGGAGTGCGGTCACTCCGAAATTGACGAGCTCATTAAGGAGGTACGTGGGGGCAGCGTTTCCAGAGGTCGGGCCTGACCGCAGAAGCCGCGTGTGTCCTGCTGAGCCCTGGCTTTGCTCTTGCCCGCTCAAGGCATCCAGAGCTCGGGCTCTCCCAGCAAACCTTGTCTCTGCCCTGACAGAGGTAGGCTGTGAGGACTGGGCCACCTGTCTGAAGCGAGCCTCCCCGACGGGTCAGCCCCTTCACCTGGTGTCTGCTCCTTAATCCCGGGGGCGGGGCAGAGTGCTTGCTCTGTGCTGGTGATGTTCCCTCAGACTCTGGACTTTTCGTGTTTAAGCATTCCGAATGGCAGTCTCCTGTAATGCATCATATGTCTTCTTGCCTTCGGAGTAGGCTTCAGCGAACAAAATGGAAGCTTTCCTTCCTGCTTGGGTTGTCCCTTGGCATCGTTATTGTCCCAGCTTTCATGGCCGGTGGGCTGCCCGCCTTCCACACACAGCTTTTCATCCTTGATGGGTTGGAAAACCATATAACCAAGCTTTTTAGAATTGTAGGTAATACAATACCTACAATAGGTTGTAAGTAAAGGCTTAATGCGGCCTCAGGCAATGGGTATTTGAATACCAGTTTAAGCTATTTGGATGCCATTTTCTTCTACCTTTATTCAGCCTTTTAACTTTTTTTGTTGTCGTTGTTAATTCTCACAGGAGGATATTTTTCCATTATTGTTATTATTATTTTTTGATAGAGGGAAAGGGGGGTGGAGAGAAACATTGATGTTGAGAGAGACACATCGATTGACTGCTTCCCACACAACCCTGACCAGGGCCAGGGATCAAACCTGCAACCCAGGTACATGCCCTTGACCCAGAATTGAACCTGAGACCCTTTGGTTTGCGGGCCGATACTCTAACTACTGAGCCAAACCGGCCAGGGCTTAACTGTGTTCTTTATGGCTATTACAAGGACATTGCATAGCTAAAGTAAGCCTACATGGCCCTTGTGAAAGGTGATGTGAGTGCTATATAAAAGGAGGGGATGGGGGGAAGAGACAAACCACAGAACTTACATGCATGTATGCATGACCAATGAACATAGACAGCAAAGCTGGGGATGAAGGTGGGGGGAAGGGGAGGGAGGTGTCAATGGGGGAAAATGAGAAACATCTGCAACAAAAACAAATTAATAAATAAAAACTTAAAAAACACAGCAATGCTCGAATCCCTGGGAGCAGCTTGGCAGTCAGAAAATGCAGATAACAAAATCCAATCTACTCTAAGCTGCCTGACTTTTCTAAAGCACATGACAGCTATTACGTGTCTGGGTGGTCTTTGGCAGCAGATCAGCTGAATTTCTGGCTTCGTGCCACTCTAACAAGGTCCCGTTTTCCATACGAGGCGTTTCTGCTGACTCAGCGAAGAGAGTGCAGTAATTGGACTGGTGCACCGGGATCACGGGAAAAGCAGATTTCAAAAACGTTTCCTAACTGGATCTACCAACCTCCTTTAAGAAATGGGTCAGCGATAGAAAGTCTAGACATGGTGCATTGAATGAGATTCACGACAGCACGGCAGAGTCCATTCAGAGTCAGGGTGCGTTGAGGTCCTGGACCTGGCATCGGGCGGTTTCATGTAAAAGGCCAATCATCTTATTAGGGGCCCTGAAGAGGCTAGTCATTCAGTCGTGTGACTTGATCACTAAGCCTGCTGGATTCTCCTGGATCTTTCAAGGTGCAAAATAAAACTTCCCATCTGTCTCATGAGCTAAAGGTGACAATAAGGCTTTGGTTAAGCATGAGCCATTCATCTTTACAACACCGGGGTGCTGCTTTGGAAGCCTAGTGACGCCCCTGCTCTTCTGTCTTGTCCCCAATCGCGCAGCCTTCTGTGGACGAGTACATGGGGATAGTCAAAAGGAGCCCTTCCCCACCCGAGGCCTGCAGGAGTCAGCTCCTCCCAGACTGGTGGGTGCAGCAGCCCAGCGCAGGTGAGCATGGGAGCCCCGGCATCTCCAAGTGGTGTGGGGATTGGATTTGTCTGAACGGCTCCAGCCTTATAGCAGCTGGGGTGGGGCGGGTGCGGGGGTACTGCTGTGCTCCCTATTTTATTGAAGGTAACTGATCCCAGAGAGGTGGTCCTTGCCGGCAGAACCCAGCCACACCCTTAGCCCCATTCACCACGGCCTCCCCGGAAGATGCTTGTGTCCTTCCCACAGGAGGTGTCGCGTTCCCTTCCCCTCTGGGAAGGTCAGAGGGGGAGGGAGTGCACTGAACCTCTCCAAGACCAGAGTGGATTCACAGCTCTGGGCCACGTTAGGTCTGCTAGGTCCACCGTCCAGTTTCGTCGGACATTAGGGACTCCTCAGAGCCAAGCACAGCCCAGAGAGGCTGGAGAGAGCAGGAGAGCCCGGGGGTGGACAGTTGCTCACTAAAAACCCTGGATTTGAATCCCCTGTCAAAAGTTCCATATCTTATGTGAGGCTCAGTTTGCTCATCCAAATAATGAAGACGCCAGGACTGGCCCTGCAGGGTCCTGAAGCTAAATGAGGGGTTCACCTTCCACCCCCTCCACTGCTTGGAATGACCTTCCCTCCGGGAACCTAAGCACCTTTACTTCCTTGCTTGGCCTCTCCCCCACTGTCCCCTGTGGGAGCCCAGGGGGTGATAGCTGACCTAGTGGGCCTCAAAGGTTGCCAGGGGGTGGAGTGGTGTCAAATCAGGGGCCCTGAGAGAGCCCCCTCTTCCTGTCCTCAGCGGCACCCCGGAGAAAGCTGGGTCTGGCCCGGGCTCCCTGTGAGTCAAGCCCTGGATGGTGGGCACGCGGTCCAGCAGTATTTTTGGAGCAGGCCTTCAGGGGGAAGGAAATGTGGCCCCACAATGTCACACTGACACATGGTCAGAAATCCCACAGCACAGAGGAAGTCTGCCCCCTCCATGCCGGTGGGGTTGAGGTCTGGCTTTCTGCGTTTATGAAACACGGGTCGCCTCGCCGAGAGGGAAAAACACCGAATTCAGCGGAAGCCTGTGGCAGGGCCTCAGGAGCACGCCATATGTAGCTTTTTAAGAAACTTTTGGAGAGGGGGGAGCATTTGGGTTGCTTCCCCTGAACAAAACCGAGTCTGGCTGGGTCTGAATCTGCTTTCTGTTTCTCCGGCAGGCTTGCCGCTGGTGACAGGGTACAGCACCTATGACGCGCACCATTCAGGTACGACGCGCTCCGGGCCGGGCGGCGTGGGGGGGCCCTTGGAAGACAAAACTCGCAGGACCTGTGTGGGTTCTTGAGGGCCCCTGGATGAGCATGATCGGGTGTTGGAAGTCGGGCCCCTGATTCCTCCTTTTTACTGTTTGGTTTGGAAGTGAACCAATGGCTACTCTTTTCTGAGCCTCTTCTCAGATTGGACCAAGAGCCCCTTGTAGGTTTAACTATAAGGGAGACAGAGTGTGGGGACAGACACACTCAAGGCCCAGCTCTGCCCCTGTCATGTGACCCCAGGCAGAGTAATTGAACCAGACGGAACCTCAGTCTTCTCATCTGTAAAGTAGGAAGAGTAATAACAGCTACCTCGTGGGCGTGTTGTGAGGATTAAACATAGTGTGATTAAAACTTTCTGGTGGGACATCAGTATGGACGTCACCGGTGTCAGTTTGTTTTATTCTCTCCCACACCTCAGTTTATAATAACAATAATGGTGGTGATGATGATGGTGATGGTGACAGTGGTTTTGATGGTGATGGTGATGATGATGATGGTGATGGTGATGATGATAATAATGGTGCTGACATTTAGTGAATGCTCACCGGGTCCAGGATCACCAGTGAGACTTTCATGGCCTAATCTCATGATCGCTTCCCACCGCCCCTAGGTAGGTGTTGTTAGTGTTCCCATTGCACCAGCTCAGAAACCTCTGGTCACATAACTGGTGGACCACAGAGCTGAGGTGTGGCCCCAGGCTGTCCCATCCATGCTCCTGCCCCTCCAGAAGACACAGGTGGCTTCTGTGCAATGTTGTCTAATTACGTTGGGGACGTGGACCGCATTCCTGCCAGTGGCCCCTGGAATTGACATTCAGGCTCATGATGGTGTCTTCAGCGCATAGGAAGCCGGTGTCTTCCCCAGCAGTGGCCGGGTCTGTGAGGAGGGAACAGCCTGACTCATCAAGATGGATCACGTGACGTTGGGACCGGGATCTGAGCCTCCTGGCACACAGAGAAGTGTCTTGCCCGTGGCCCTCACGGGATGAGTGTTTTTGAGTGGCAGAGGCAGGTTCTCACCCAGGCAAGAAACTTTTAAAGCAAACAGTCGAGCTCTTACCCACAGCACAGCCGCCTGTGAGCTGCGGACTGTTACAGCTCCGGCTTCACAGGTGAGGAAACCGAGGACTAGAGGTGAAATCGCTCACCTACGATCACACAGCTCGTAAGCCGGGTTGCGGGGTTCAAACCCGGGCACCTGGCTTCAAGTCTGTTTTTAGATTTACACCGGGAAGCTGCATGGTCACCAGAGGCCCAGCTCCCGGAGGCCCTGGGTCATGGGACTGAGCCTTTGACCTGGTGAGCCCTGGGCTGTGGCCCAGGGAGTCTGCTGACCAGTGCTTCCCGAGGGCAGGAGAGGAGCCAGGCTCCAGGCTGCGGTGCCTGGGTGGGAAGACACGGTCTGAGGAGGAAGCTTCCTCTCGCGATTGCAGAGCTGTCTCAGCCCCTGCTTCCTGCAAAGAAAATCCTACAATATTCCTCCAGAAGTTGTGAACTTCGGTACCTCTGTGCAGTTCACACAACCCCACCCCTCATGTACACAAGTTGTCAGGAGTCCCCAGTTCTCAGCCTGGCAGGGACAGGTAATATAATGAGTGAAATGTCAGGAGAAAGACAATAGGGAGTGGCGGAGACTGTGGCAAAGTGGAGGGGCCATACTCCTCTGGGCTGCTTGTAGTGGTTCCTGCCCTGTGGACCTTCAGACCCAGCCAGGCTCGATTTTTCCATTTTTTTAGAGGAACCAGAGGTCTGGATTTTTAGGTGAATTTTTCCCATATAAAAACTTGGCAGCAGATTTGTGTCAATAATGCCCCATTGTGCTGGGGATCCAAACGGGTCTGTGCCTGCCTGTTTGTGCTCTCAACTGTATGTATTTGAAATAATTCGGGTAAAGGGTGGTGTTTGAAATGGACAGTGTGGCTCGGCGCTTAAGAACACAGATGTGGTGCCCTGGCCAGTGTGGCTCGGTTGGTTGAGCGTTGTCCCGTGCACCGAAAGGTCGCCGGTTCAGTTCCCGGTCAGGGCAAATACCCAGGTTGTGTGTTTGATCCCCGGTCAGGGTGCATATGGAAAGCAACTGATGTTTCTCTCTCAACATCGATGTTTCTTTCCCTCTCCCTTCCTCTCTCTCTAAAAGCAATAAAAAGATATTGGAAAGAAAAAAGAAAAAAAAAGAAAGAACACAGATGTGGAGCCAGCCTGCTGGGGAGGGAGTGCATCTAAGCTCCCCAATTAGCAATTGTGCCATTGATAAGAAGCACCTTAACCTGTTTATGACTCAGTTTTGTCACCTGGAAAATGGGTATAATTATTAGTAATTTGCACGGTGTTGACATCTGCTAAGTACAAATGCAGGCTCATTCAATCCTCACAGCCACCCAGTGAAGTGGAAATATTATTACCTCCACTTTGCTGATGGGGAAACTGAGGCACAGAGTGGCGACGCTGCTGCCCCAGGTCACACAGCTGGGATAATGCATCAGGCAGTGGGCTGCAGAGTGTGTGCTCTGTGGCCAGACCGCCCCCTGGCAGGGCTGTCCTCGTGGGCGAGAAGCCGTAATGGGAGCAGGACAGGGTGGCGGAGGGCCTTGCAGAACTGCAAAGGGCTGGACTGAGCAACCGGAGGCCCTGATGAGCGGCTCCTGCTCTGCGGGTCTCCACTGCTCGCCTGTAGGGTGCAGCGAGTCATGGCCCAGGCCCTGCTAGCTCGAACCTCCTTTGAGCCTACGCTGTCCTACGACATTAGGGTCACTAGGGCGGCCCTGCCTGGACATCTCTGGAACACCTTGTCTGGGCTCCCTCTGAGGCAGTCAGTTCACATGCTCATGAAACACTAGTGTGAAATCAGGCGACAGCCATGACAGGGCAAAGGGGCAGAGTGGTGACAGTCATCTGGAGTGTTCCATTCATTTGGGACAAAGTGCAGAATTGTTTTGGAGTGAAGGAAGCAGACTGTGTCAAGGCATCAGGTGACGCGGGCATTGCAGAGTTGGAGGGTGGGAAGATGGTAGGGGTGGTAACGAGTTGTGGGGTCGGATGCTGGTGCTGCTACTTACCTGCTGGGTGACCCCACCTGGGCCTTAGTTTCCCCAAATATCAAATAGATGAGTTGGACTGGAGCCCCTGCAGCTGATTCCCAGTCCTGCTTGGTTCTGGAATGCCGTTGAACTCCAAGGTGGGAGAAAGCGGACCTGGGGAGAGTAGTGGGCATCTTAATATTTGACTGAGCAAATGTTTCTTGAGCAAAGCCCAGCAGCAGGGTCCAAGGAATTATAGGTGCAGAGCAGCATTATTAACCCAGGTGAGTTAGGCGGCCACCCACAGGCTGCCCCTGACAGCTGTGCGGGTGTGCACTGCACAAATCTAGGGGGCACCACGGAGTTGAGCAGCTCACAGCCCATGTGGCTCGAGGGGTCAGGCCCGGATTGGTATTTAAAGGTTCCCCAATCTCACCAAGCTCTCTGATAGTACATGTCATTCTCCAGGTTTAAGGCTGTTAAAACCCAGATTTTTTTTAGGAGGATCCCTACATTTAGCTTTTGTCTTTACTCCTACCTTAGTTTAGAGGTTCCCACACTTGGAGCCCCACCTTCACACTTGGTTTTCATATCTGGGTACCACTTGGACTATTATTAACATCCTGTTTTTCTCTAAATCTTACTTTTTAAAACTCACATTTATTTTAGAAGCATTTTATTTTATTATTATTTTTTTTCATCCTCACGTGAGGACATTTTTCCATTTTTTGTACAGATAGAGTGGAAGGGAGAGAGAGGAAGAGAGAGAGAGAGAGAGAAACATCGATGTGAAAGGGACACATCGAGTGGCTGCCACCCACACGACCAACCAGGGTCGGGGACAAACTGCAACCGAGGTACATGCCCTTAGCGGGAACCGAACCCGGGTCTCTCCGGACCGCAGGCCTACGCTCAAACCGCTGAGCCAAACCGGCCAGGGCAAACTCACATTTATTTTAAATGGGGGCCTCCCCTCACTGCCTGGAAAAGGAAAACCAGGGTCACTTGCTGTAAGTAGGAAGTCGGAGATCAAAGCAAATTCATTGAAAATCAGATAGACTGTTTAGAGATTCTGGAGATATTGCCACCTGTCCAAGGCTTAGAACCCCTTTGGTATAGGGGTGGTTGTCAGGATTAGGTGTTAAAGATCCATCAGCACCTAAATGAGGCTTTGTTTTGAGGTGGTCAGAGATTGAGAGAATAGATATACATACATTATGCCGTGTTACCTAGATATATAGCTCTCTGTTCTCTAGAACAGTGTAGCCTGTTGTCTACATTCATAATGGAAGGATATGCGAGATCTGAATTTGTGGGCTGTGAAAATAAAGATATAATCTTTATTTTATATAGATTATAGCCACAGGGTCCCTGGGTTTCACATTAAGAATCGATGTTACTTATTTACAACATTGTATCATGTGTAGTGTAACATGGGACAGGGCCTGTGAGGCGGAACTAGTTGCCAAAGAAATGTGCTTGTCAAAACCTCATTACTCTCAGGATGACTGGTGAATGGTGGCAGCTGCCAGCCTTTCCCAGAAGTAGGGAGAGCACTAGAGTAGTTTTCTAGATTCTACATCATTGGTTTCCTTAGTAACTCTGTGTGTTTATTCATGCTTATAAAATCATTATTTCTAGAAAGGGTGCATGAACTTCCCAGAATGCCAGAAAGATCCTGGGCACACAAGAAGCTCCCCCCAGTTTGGGAGGAAGATTCTGGACGTCTGCACAGGAAGGAGCAGGGAGCTCCCTTCCCCTCAGCCCCCTGACCTGTCCCCCTTTTCCCCACAGCCTTCTCCCAGATGGTCATCAGCTTCTACTACGGGGGCAAGCTGGTGGGCCAGACCACCACCACCTGCCCGGAGGGCTGCCGCCTGTCCCTGAGCCAGCCGGGCCTGCCCAGCGCCAAGCTGTATGGGCCCGAGGGCCTGGAGCTGGTGCGCTTCCCGCCTGCAGACACCATCCCCAGCGAGCGGCAGAGGCAGGTGACGCGGAAGCTGTTTGGGCACCTGGAGCGCGGCGTGCTGCTGCACAGTAACCGGCAGGGTGTGCTGGTCAAGCGGCTGTGCCAGGGCCGCGTGTTCTACAGCGGCAACGCCGTGCTGTGCAAGGACAGGCCCAACAAGCTGGAGCGCGACGAGGTGGTCAAGGTCTTCGACACCTGTCAGTTCTTTCGAGGTCAGTACCGCCCTCACCTTGCTGCTGGGATCTTAAAGATCCTGCCTCCTTTGCTGTGGGGACATGTAGGGACGGGCCAGAGGCACGGCTGCGGCAGGGGCACCCCCTGCATTTGATTTTTTTTTTTTTTTTTTTTTTTAATCCTCACCCGAGGACATTTTTCCATTTTTCACTCAGATAGAGCGGGAAGGAGAGAGAGAGAGAGAGGGAAACATCGATGTGAAAGGGACACATCGAGTGGCCGCCACCCACATGACCCAACCAGGGCCGGGGACAAACTGCAGCCAAGGTACATGCCCTTAGCGGGAACCGAACCCGGGTCTCTGTGGACCGCAGGCTGACGCTCTAACCGCTGAGCCAAACCGGCCAGGGCTGCATTTGATTTTTGCTCTGCACTTTTTTTTTTTTTTTTCCTTTATTGATTTCAGAGAGAGAGGAAGTGAGAGGGAGAGAGAGAGAGCTAGAAATGTGGATTGGCCGCCTCCTGCATGCCCCCCACTGGGGATTGGGCCCACATCCTGGGCATGTGCCCTGACCGGGAATCGAACCAGTGACCTCTTGGTGCATGGGTCGATGCTCAGCTACTGAGCCACACTGGCCGGACTGCTCTGCACTTTTTTTTCTGAGTGATCCTGGGGAAACCTCTGTGCTTCGACTCCCCTGCTTGGAGAATGGGGGGTGCAGTCCTGCACCTTCCTTGCACAGCTGCTGAGAGCATGAAGGAATTTAGCACCTTGCAGCTCTGCTGCGGCCTATCTCTACACCCTGGGAGCTGGTTAGAACGCATTTCCTTCCTTTATGCCTGCAGGGTCAGAAATTGCAGCTTGGCCAGGTTCCAGGAGTTTGGTGTGTGCTGACCTTGTAAACACAGCCCTCAGGACAACACCCACACACTGAAGTGCTGCACATCAGCTGTTGTTATTCTGTGAGGCATATAAATAGAATCTCACTGTGTGTGTTCCTCCTAGAAGGTCAGGGTATCTGAAATCAATCAACTGGGCTGTCTGCCGTACTGCGTGGGAACCCTCCTCTGTGCTCCCAAAGCCCTCTGTTTCTCTTCCTGTTACAGCCAGGAGCTAGTGTCACATCTCTCCTGCCACCTGGCCTGAGGACTCCTGGAGAAGGGGCCCTGGAAAGGTGGGCACGGTGGCATGTGTGAGCTCAGGTGTGAAAGCACCGAGGAGCTGCGAACACCGGCCCCTTCCCCCTCGTGTCTTTGCAGAGCTGCAGCACTTCTATAACAACCAGAGCCGGCTTCCCGACAGCAGGGTGGTGCTGTGCTTCGGAGAAGAGTTTCCAGATATGACCCCCTTGCGCTCCAAACTCATTCTTGTGCAGGTAAGAAGAGGCAGCTTCAGAGCTTGTGGCCAGATCTCCCAGCCAGTGCATCAGGACCCAGTTTATTCTGGCGCTGCAGAACAGGCAGCAAAGACTAGGGTACTCCATCGTGTGCAGAAGCAGGCCTGTTGCTTGAAGCAGCGGATTCTTGCCACCTCTGAACCATCTTCTCATGTTCCAGGACTCTCACAATCTGTGTCTCCCCTGCCTTTTTTTTTTTTTTTTTTTTAGTTTGGTTGGTTTATCAAAATCAAAACCTTTCCAGAAAGATTCCGCCTGGCCTTAAGGTCTAAGTGACAGATTAGGGTTTTGCCAGCTCATATTTAACTCTAGTCAAAGGAATGAAGCTCTAATGGTGGAATTCTGGACACTGGCGAGCCAGATTGGGCCAATACTGAGAAAGCATATATAGGAGTCTTTGTAGGAATACCTCTTGCCCTTTCTTTGCATCTCCCTATTCTGGGTGCATTCATTTGGAACTCGTGGAGGTTCTAAATGCTGCCTTTGCACTGGGGTAATCAAAGACCCTGACTAGGGTCAAAGGAAGTCCCACCTCCCTTCCCGCCGCTCTCTCTGACCTTGTGCACCATCCCTCTAGATTGAACAACTCTACGTCCGGCAGCTGGTAGAAGAAGCTGGGAAGAGCTGTGCTGCTGGGTCCATGATGCAGGCCCCTGAGGAACCCCAGCCAGACCAGGTCTTCCGGATGTTTCCAGATATTTGTGCCTCCCACCAGAGACCCTTTTTCAGAGAAAACCAACAGATCACAGTTTAAGCCTCTCTTGGGCACCCCGCCCCGTCCACATCTCATGTTTCATTATTACAATTACTGTTGTAATTATTTAAGGATATAGATCCCTCTGACCTGGGGTGGGACTCCTCACTCTGCTCTTAATTTAGTAAGGGCATTCTCCGAGGACTCGTTAATGAGACTAATTAAATCATTTTCTCTATTTTCCCCTAATTATCATTAGTTGCTATGATTCTTCAGCATTTTGGATAATTGAGATTTCCAAAGACTTCTATTCAATTTGACTAGCACTTAGTTGCTTCCAGGAAAGAAATTTGGATAAGATCCACTTGGGAGTACAACAGTGCTTTTGGTCTTTATCTTGTTATAGCTGTAGATATATGATTTCATATGCTTGATTCAGGGTTTAATACCAACCTTCCTTTAATAAGGGAAAGCAAAGCTTTTGGCTTGTTTGACGAATGTATATTCTCCCCAGAATTTGGTGCTAGGAAGGCATTTCCATTACCAGATAAAATAGTGTGTTTTTATCTTCATACAATTAAAGTTTTCCCTTTGGCGCTTTGCAGCAGAAGCTTAGAATTAAATTTATTTTTTCATTTCTGTAATTAGGTTATCCCAGATCCTTCTCCGTTTTCTTCTTTCTAAATGGCTTTAAAATTATTTTAAAACCATTGTCCATTGTCCAACTGTAAACTGCTTTGAAACTTTTTTTTTTTTTTATTTTTATAAACCACAAGTTAAAAAAAGATGAGCATTTTGTATGAGTGTTTTGATTGTGCCCGCATTCGGTCACTCCATAGTGTTGAGAGTGTAGGCGTGGCTAAAGGGCCTTGGGAGATTTGGATGATGTGTTAGCCTGTCACCACTACTCAGGTCATGGGACGGTCTGTGGCTGGGAGGATGCCTTCCCCCATCCCTACCACTCCCCGAGGCTCACGACAGCCCTACCACACACCAAATTCCTCAACGGAGCCTCCAGTGGGATTTCAATGGAGAAGTCCCCGTTATAGCCCTGGAAGAACTGACTCTACTTTCTAGCAAATAAAATGCATTTACTACCCACAGTGTGTCACAATGTTTACCCTAAATCCTGATGCAAACCAAAAGCCAGGGGCAGAAGATGGAAAATTGCCTGGCTGAACGGCAAGGGCAGGTCACGTCCCCTCACTGACCCGTCAGTCTGCAGTAGACCGCATCTCCACAGTCCCGTTAAAACCACTTTCACCATTATAAAGCACTTGGACTTTGTTTTTCTAAATAAACACTGTGTTTTGCTAGATTGGGGTGCCTCTTGTTTGTGGGTCCCGTGCTGCACCGGGACTGGCAGAGATGGGCACCCACGGTGTGTGTCGAGCGCCTGCCCCTCTTCTTGGTGGTGCAGTTTGTGGATCTGGCTGTGGGAATCCCACCGTGAGTACAGAAATCAGGCAGGTTTGGGGGGTTGGGAGAGAGCTTTTGCTTTGCTTCCAGTCTCTTGGGAGTGGGGAGAAGAATCTTTTTTGTATCCTTTTCCCTTTATCACACAGCCTGGGTCACCATCATCCCTCACTAGAATCTCACAATGGAAGGGCAACAAGGGGCCTCACCTGTCAGCCCTCATTCAGAGAAATGGGAGGAGTTGGGATTTGGGGGACAGTTTGCCCCAGCTCAGCCAACCTGGTGGCCTTGTAACTACAAGAGTCTCTGATCCCAAATTGGAAAGGCCAAAGAACGTGGCCATAGTGCTAGTCAGGCTTAATCACGATAGGGCCATTGGATGTGTCTGAACTCACGTGAGAATATAGGAAAACTCCAGTAAAGGTAGCTTTCCTCGTTTGGCCAACAAGGTGAACATTATGTTTTTAAGGATAACAGACCTATGTATTTTCTAAAATTTTGTAAAGTAACAAATAGGCTTTAGTTTGTAGCTCAAATGAATGTTAAAGTACACATCTTTAAGTATGTTTTCACTGAATTTTTTAGAGAGAGAGGAAGAGAGAGAGAGAGAGAAACATGGATCAGTTGCCTCCTGCACGCCTCCTACTGGGGATCGAGCCTGCAACCTGGGCATGTGTCCTGACCGGGAATTGAACTGGGACCTCTCAGTCCATGGGACGATGCTCAATCCATTGAGTCACACCAGCCGGGCAAAGTACACATCTTTAATATGCTGAATGAATATTTATTTTTGTATGCATTTAAGAAATATGTTGATCTCCTTTATTCTTTATTAAAATAAAAGTACTCTCACTCTTTTTTTTTTTTGGTTAATTCTTACCCAAGGATATTTTCCCATTGATTTTTAGATAGAGTGGGAAGGAGGGAGGGAGGGAGGGAGAGAGAGAGGAAGAGAGAGACATCAATGTGTGAGAGACACATCGATTGGTTGCCTCCCACACAGCTGGGGATCGAACCTGCAACCCAGGTATGTGCCTTTGATAGAGAGGCAAACCCGTGACCCTTTGGGCTGTGGGCTGGTGCTCTAACCATTGAGTAAACCAACCAGGGCTAAAAGTGCTCTTTTTAAAAGCTAATGTGTGCTCCTTTTTTTTTTTTTTTTTTTTAAGACACTGTTAAATACTTTATCATTTTCACCAGATTCTAGGTACTTTAAAGAGGGAATTAAAAAATAATACTGCACTGTGATTTTAAGAATTTTTTGCTTGTTTGTTTTTTATTCGTCCCCAGAAAAATAGCAAAGAAGTCTGGAGACTTACAACTCCTACAGAATTTTCTGGAGAAAACTTGGGGTCACACCATGTTTTTACTAAAATCTGAGGGCCTGTCTGGGTTTCTGTGAGCAGACTGGCGACTGCAGAGGGTGTGGAGAAAGGAAGAGTTTGGCATCGACATCACTTCCTGGAAGCTCTGGAAATGACCTGGAGGAGGGCTACCTGGGTCGGGTTGACCATATGTGATGGGGCTGAGTGTCCTTCCATTCACACACGTACTCACTGTGCTAGGTCCTAGGAATAGAGCGGGGACATGAGGGACCCAGTTTGGCAAACATGGAGATTACTTCCAATTTGATGGGGCATGCCTTTTGAACAACCCAGGACAAATTGCCAGTTGCAGGGAGGTACAGGCTCCGGCCAACCCAGGTGGAGAGGTGGTACCCAACACGTTCGTCTCCATGGTAATGGCCATTACCTTGCAGCCTCAGCCAAACCCAGTGCCCCTGGGGATGTTCTTATTCTCAGTCTATAGACAAGGAACCTGAGGCACGGGTCCATGCTTGACTGTGGGTCGTTGGCACCCAGGGGGACAGCTCAGTCTGGGAGGCTTTCTGACAACATCTTGTTGCCGAGTTGAAGCCAGCTAGCCACTAGCACCATGTGGAAAAGGCAGCAGCTTGGCATATCATTGACTTTCTTAGAAATCTTTGCAGTGAGTCACGTTCATTCCCGCAAGCTGCAAGTAGGAATTTTTTTTATATGCAAGTCTGTGGATTCATCTGTCCTGTGATTCAGGGCCAACTTGATACAGTCTGCTTCTCCCCAGAGCTCGACACCCTTGTGCAGATAGTTGACAAATTCTTCCCACTCAGCACCTTACAGCAACCTCGGAGATGCGAGGAGGGAAGTCAGGGTCACGATGCCTCAGGTATAACTAGAAGTTCTAGCAAATGCTGTTAGGACCATAGATGTGAACTAGCTTTTGAGATCCTGACTTTTCTCCAGGACCTGAAGGTCAGCCAGTGGGAATAGCGGACGAGACATTCTGGAAAACAAACAGCCTTCACATTTTGTATTTTAGAACATTTTAAGAAATTAAGATATTTCAACTAGCGCTTTCCAAGTGCCACTTAGTGCATTCACTTTGGCAAACTACATCTGGAATGGGAAATTTTTGTTTTCTTTGCAATGTCCAGATGGACTGAGATGACGACCCCAGGGGTAAGCATCCACAGGCTCTGCTGGGCCCTGGGAATCCTGGGAGAATCCTGCTGAAGGGCAGGCACCCCAGTGTACTGTGGGGGCAATTCTCTCCACAAAGAGGCAATTGTGGGAACTTATTTGTGTGAGTGACTCAGAATCTCCACAATACAAAGTTTTGCAACCCAATTACTCAGAAATATTTAGAAATTCTTTCTAAAGAATGATCTATAATTAATGACTGTCACAACTTAGTGGGCTGAGAGTGGGGGAGGGGTGTTTTCTCAGTGGAAAGACTGGCTGCTTTTACTCAAAGTAGGAGGGAAGCAGCAAGCGTCTTGACCCACTCATAATCTATACCTCCCTCAGGGACAGGTGCGCTGCACACCAGCGTGTTAAGAGGTCTTGCTCGTGGTCAGCAACTAAGTTAATCCCGTGTTTCCCAAACGTATTTGCTCTGGTGTTACGCCTTGCAGTGTGTCTATGGATGCATGCTGCCTAAGTGTGCATATTTCTTCCCCGCTCTCATTGGCCTGCCTTTCAGTTTAGATAGAGTCTGCCAGGGTGGGGATGGCTTCACTCATCTCTTTCTGTGTAACAAACTACCCCCAGTGGCATACAAGTATTTTATTTTGCTTATGGATTTTGTGGGTTAGACTTTAGACCGGGTCCAGTGGCGTTGGCTTTTTTCCTCTGTTCCTCAACGTCTGCAGCCTTACCTGGGAAAACTGAACAGTTGAGCGTGACCGGGGTGCCTGGGGGTGGGGGCTGGGAGGGTTGGAAGGCTGGGCACAGCTGGAATGTTGATACGTGGTCTTGCCATGTAATTTGGGCTCCCTCACAATATGGCGGCCTTGGGGAAGACCAATAGGAAAAGGGGAAGCTGAAGGGCTGTTTCTGACCCTTAGCATCACTTCTGGCACACTCCATTGGTTGAAGCAGTCACAAGGCCGCCCAGATTCAGGACAGGCAGAGACCCCACCTTCTGATGATCAGCGTGTCAAGGAATCTGCAGCCATGTTTTCAAAGTGGCATGGGGTCCCAGGGCATCTTCTCCTTTGCTACTCATTGTATATACCTTTTAAAATTCTTCTGCCCTTTCCCTGCAAGTCCTGGCTCCTTTCTGCCCTGAATCCTTGCGTCCCGGACAGGTAGAGATTTTTCTCCCTCCATCTTGGGGAACACAGCGCTGGACACCTACCTTCTTCAGAATGTAGCCTTTTCTTGCTACATCCTGAGAGTACTGATCACTTCTCAGGGCATGACTCTGATGTGTCACTATGTGAAAAAGATTGCTGTCCCACCACAAGTGAAGGTGGGCATACAGGGAACTTTCCAGTTGGGGTTAACTTTGGCTGCTAAGGTGAGAGCCCCTTATGGAGTTTTCGCATTTCCTTCCATCCTTCTGTTCATCATTCAGCACGAGGCAGGGCCACCCTCCCCTCCTCTCATCCCCAAATCTAAGGCTCTTCCAAAATTCTGCAAGATTATGCCATTGGTTTTGGTTAAGCGCGGCCCAGGTTGAACTCACCTCTAGCGGAGTGGAAGAGGGCAGGTTAGTAAAACCCCTCATGTCTCAGTTTCCCCATTTGTGGGCTTGTTGTGAGGACTCCATGAGTTAACACAGGCAAGCAACTTAGAACAGTGCTTGGCAAAGAACCAGCAATTTATTAACACAAGCTGTCATTCTTGAGAAGCCGTGCATGGTCTGGGTTTGGATTCCCCCAGAGCCATTGCCAGGAACAAGGATTCCAGGACACATCTATGTGGGAGGTCATCTCAAGAAAGGCTGGTAGGGGAAGGGGATGAGCCAGTGAAGGTGCCTTA